GAAATACCTTACCCCGAGACCTCGGCTGGTGGCCTGGCACTTCCTCTGAGGCAATTTTTAAAAATTAGGAACTAGAGACATGAACTGGTGCTGAAAAAAATGATTTCTACAAAGCGAATGTGCAGATGGTAGCATCTCATAGGAATCTTTTTATGTAATCATCCTCAACATCCTAGAACTACAGAGCTGGAAGGGACCCTACGGCTCATCAAGCCCAGCCCCTGTCAAGGAGGCACAGTGGGGAACTGAACTCCCAACCTCTGGCTCCACAGCCAGTTACCTAAACCACTGGTTCTTAACCTTGAGTTACTCAAGAGTTTTGGACTGCAACTCCCAGAAGCCTTCACCACCAGCTGTGCTGACTGGGGTTTCTGGGAGTTGCAGTTCAAAAGCATCCGAGTAACAAAGGTTAAGAACCACTGACCTAAACCACTGATCTATCCAGCAGTTCTATCTCCTCATACTTTTGTTTTGGGTTTGTGGGGCATGCACATGAGTGCATGGGTGTGTAAATCAATGTGGCCAGCACATATACGGTGAAATTTCAGGGAAGGGAATGAAAAAAATCCTGAAGGATAGATTTAATTTTCCCATGGGGAAAAAATCTACACTGGACAGTGTAAGAAAAAACTGGTATCAAATTCTTTCACTTTTGGAATGAGGGGAATGTGTCTAAAATCAAGGTTTTCCTCACCCTTAATGCCAAGAGCTGCACAGTGCAAAGTTTTGCATGGAGCCTACAGAATTAGAGAGCAATAATTCCTCTGCATGACAGGTATGCCATGTTCAACTCCAAGCTGGATTTCTCCATCAAATGAGGGCTACCACCTCTATGAAAGGAGCAGTAGTAGGTGGAAAGAAGGGGCTTCATCGCTTGGATACTGAATCTAGCTTCTCGTGACCTTTGTTCTAGTTTGGGGGAGACAGTAACAGTAGAAAACAAACAGTTTCTGTCCAAATAATACCTTCAGTTGTGGTTTCTTGAAATTCAATAAACATGTTGGACAGTGCAATGTGAATGAGGCATTTTTGTTACTCAAACAGTAAAGTAGGTTTAAATTAGATATGTAAGTAAGTGATGTATACATTTCACATCTCCCTGGGGAAAAATGGAAAATTATGCTCCACCCTCCCCCCCAATTATGGATTCAATATTCTCACATATTTTATATCTCTGTTTACAATTCAGCAGATTGGAAGCAATAATCAGCTCCCTGGGTCATCTGTGGTAGACTGGAATGTATTATTTAATAACGTCCAAAAGAGGAAAAGTTGTATAGACTCCCTGCCCCCTTTTCAGAATAAAATCTGTTTTACTTAATTACTAAAGTATCTCCATATTACTCTGTATCTCAAGATCTTAGAGAATGCACAGTCAATAAAAGCAACTTTAAAACAGTTATAAAACAATAGAAATCATTTAGAACAACCCGCCACAATTAGAACAAAAGAGTCAGCAAACATACGCAATAAACAGAAAATGAAACCCACAGTCCAACAGACCAGAACAAGCCATGATTACTGGACTCCAAAAGTTTCAGGGAACAGCCAAGTTTTAGCTTGGCACCAAAATGAGGCCAACGGCAATACCGATCAGACGTCCTGATAAATTAGGTTGCTAAACGAAGGAAGCAGAGTAGGATGGGTAATAGGGTCGCCAAATGAAAAAGGAAGACAGGGCTTCTGTATCAGCAGCAGCAGTGTTTTAGAACTGCAGAGGTGGAAGGAACCTTATGGATCATGGAGTCGAGCCTTTGTCAAAGAGTCACAGAGAGGAATCGAATTCCCAAGCGCTGGCTCTGCAGCCAGAGACCTAAACCACTGAGCTATCCATGGAAGAGGGAATCCCAACAGGTATAGCTTTGTCAGGCAAACTGCACTTGTCCACATGCATGCATGCATTCATCCAAACAATAGCTAAAACTGCTGGAGCCCTCTCTTCTTTTTCACATGGCCTCCCTAGAAGGGGATTTGATAGCCAGATGCAGAAAAAGGTGGAACTCCTGCACTCTTAATGCCTCTGTATAAGAGGGGATTTTGTCTATCTACACTTATCGACATCTTTCTTTTCCTTATGATCATTGAATAGGACAACTTCTAAGCAATGGTTCTTGAAAAGTTGTGTGACATGCAAGATGCCTGGTCCATCATTGTTTGGGGGCTCCTGTTGGGCAAAATCCCGCCAACCTAGCGGTTCGAAAGCATGCAAATGTGAGTAGATAAATAGGGACCACTTTGGTGGGAAGGTAACAGTGTTCTGTGTCTAAGTCGCACTGGCCATGTGACCACGGAAGATTGTCTTTGGACAAACGCTGGCTTTATGGCTTGGAAACGGGGATGAGCACCGCCCCCTAGAGTCGAACACGACTGGACAAAAATTGTCAAGGGGGACCTTTACCTTTACCGTTGGGCAAAAGGTAGATGACACTTCTGGTGACTCTACATGCATAATAGGTGCTTCCAGGGGTGACTTGTCTTTTGCCTTCTGCAGTTAAAAAGAATAGATAGCAGATAATCAGTTTATCTGCCCTTATGTTCAGACATGGTCTGTGTTAGGCATGGTTTCTTGCTCAAACCTGCATGGCACAATTTCGTCTCTGCTCTACTACTTTTACAGTCACCTCCCAGAATTATTTATTGGCACCCATTGCTGGTGATTTTGGGAGCTGCACTTTAAAACCATAACTTTTAAAAGCTTTGATATCTCTTCAACCTTTTCACTGTGGGAACAAGCCAGGGATAAATATTGTTTTATATTAGTCCATCACAACAAGCTATGATTTAAACAAGCCAACAACAAACAGTGGATGCAAATTATGACTTGTCGTTGGCCAGCAAACTGTTGCCTGTTAACAGAGTAAGGTTTGCATAGCACAGTAAGCCAGGTTTCAACTACCACACCTTGATTTTCTATTATATGAATCACTGTAGCACTCTGAACACATACATCTCTTTTGAAGCTAAGCAGAATCAGGGCTGATTAGAATTTAGATGGGAGACGACCAGAAAAATGCTAGGATTTCAAGTACGGCTAGGAAAGACTCCTGAGATACTAGTTATCTACCATAGTACTGTCAGCATTGACTCACTACGAGACAGCTTCCTATGTTCTTCCATGCTGGGAATATGATGAGTGTAAAACACATTTGCCTGATGCTTTTAAAAAGCCACCTTGAACGGGCGTAACAGAGAACAGATTGCATTTCTGAGCAGCTTAATTGATTCTGTCTGCATGTAGGAGCCACAGTTTTTCTCTTTCTTCCAAGTATTCTGTATTGACATTTTGCCATGCTATGATATCATGTGAATGCTGAAGCCAAGCAGCTAAATCAGCTTCTTCCTTTTTGTGCTTCACATCACAGCTTCAGTTTCTTTGTGATTCACTTTCATTAGTAAAAGACAATTGCTCTTGTATCCCCAGTGTATACAAATGAAATCATCAAATGGAGTAGTATATTTTACAGCCACTTTGAACATAACTGTAAGAACAGGTAACCCTTCATCTCCCAGGAATGAGAGTTTGAGATTTTACATTTAATTAGAATAAGTTGTGTTTGTTGCTATTAGACAACTTTAGCTCAGAAAGAGTTTTAAACAAGAGGCTTTAATTTTATACATGTATAATTATGAACATGTATATACATGTATAATTATTAACATTTAATAATTATAGAACATAAATAAATAATGCTAATCATGTACCATCAAGTCAATTGTGACTTACAGTGACCCTTTTTTGGGGGGTTTCCAGGTAGAGGATACTCAGAAATGGATTTATCATTCCTTTCTTCTGGGGGCGCCCTGGGACTGTGCAGCTTGCCCAAGGCCACACAGGCCGGCTCTACTCACAGGAGGCACAGTGGGGAATCGAACTCCCAACCTTTGGCTCCACAGCCAGAGGCCTAAGCCACTGAGTTATCCAGACAGCAAGTATAGAACAGAGTACAATTAAATTTGAAACTTTTAAGGAGCATGGCCAGTGGAAAGGAGTCAGTCATTGGCCCTTCCTAACGCCTACCCTCTCCCCATACAAATTCATCAAAATAGCTATTGAGTGGCAACTTTGCTTTAAAACAAGGATATACTGGCTGGACCCCCAGGACATAGTCTTCTACTTCCTTGTGATGAGATCTACTGTTTTTCTGTTTAAATTACAATAATTATTTCTAATTGTTCATCAAGCCACCGGTAGTGAGAATGTTGGGCCAGGACTCAGAAGACCTGAGTTGAAATCCTTACTTGCACACAAAGCACAGTTATCACCAGCCCTCCTGCTTTCTCAGCCTTTCTGTACTTAATCCTGAAAACTGCATCATGGATAGTAGCCTTGTAGGCCACCTTTTGCTCATTGGTGGAAAATGGAAGATGGGAACAAACAAATTAGCTTGGCCAGAATTCTGTTAGTTATGCCTCCATCAGCATAACTTCCATTGGCAAATTGCTACAAATCAAGGAATCAGCGTAGGCATTTGCCATCAAACACCAGTCATGTGATTCAGTATGTGATAGCAAATTCCTACACTTATTTCTTGTGATAGCTCACTGGTTGCCAGAAAAACGTATGGTGATGGAGTTAACATCAGTGTAAATATGTAATGGGATTCTGGCTGCCTATTTTTCAGCACTCTTTACCTCTATACCATGCTGGCTAAATACATTTAACAAATGCAAATACTGTAATGTACAAATCTCTAGCTTCTTTTTGATGGTACTGTTCTTTGTAGGCTATGTCTAAGTGGCCTTTTTAATAGGTAGCACTTGTACCCTTATCACTGGGTCATGCTTTTTCTGCGGCATTCTGATATACTCATTCTGTATTTCTGTTTTTGGTCTGAAGAGAATTGCTATTTAAAGGTAAACATATTGAATTTTTTTTCTCTCCTTTTTTGACAGAAACTCTTTGGAGGTATCTCTATGAAAATCTGCTGTATGCGGATTATGAATAAGAAACTAAAACTGGCATATCTCTCTCAATCTTTCCCTCCCTCTTCTAATTGCAGACCCCAAAAGGTGCTTGTGCGGAATCTGTGAAAATAGCCATTGACGTAGGTTACCGCCATATTGATGGGGCTTTTGTGTATCACAACGAACATGAAGTGGGACAGGCCATCCGGGAGAAAATTGCAGAAGGCAAGGTCAAGCGTGAAGACATATTCTACTGTGGCAAAGTGAGACAACCTAATGAATTATATTTGTGGGAGTATAAGACTGTCGTCCTTCACAAGGCCAGTCTTACATGGGGTAGAAGGAGGCAGCTGCTGCCTCAGGTGGCAAATTCTAGAGGCCATGAAAAATAGTAAATTGTTCATTAGCTACTAAAGAGCCTCTTGGCGTAGTGATTAAACTGCTGTACTGCGGCCAAAACTGTGCTCATGACCTGGGGCTCAAATCCCAGGTAGCCAGCTCAAGGTTGACTCAGCCTTCTATCCTTCTGAGGTGGGTAAAATGAGTACCTAGCTTGCGGGGGTGGGGGAATGTGTAGCCTGCATAATTAACTTGTAAACCACCCAGAGAGTGCTTGAAGCGCTATGGGACGGTATATTTTGCTTTTGCTTTTTATTGTTAATGGTATTTTCACTACCAAGGGTGGCCAGAATGTATCAGGGAGGAGAACATTTTATGCCTCAAGGTCTCTTGGTTGGTGTTAGATAATGGGAACACTTTGATGTGAGGGAAGTGAGGGGTATCCTGTTCTGTTCTGTCTCAAGCAACAAAATGTATTGGGCTCACTGGGACTTAGCTGGAGGTCCAAGAATTATTTGCAGACAGTAGGGAAAGTAACTGCTCCAAGGCTGCCCTTTACATGGCACAGAGCTCACTGTAAATATTCTGCAGAATCTTGTCATAAGCATTTCTTTGTTGAAGCCAAACTCTCTTGGGCAGTTCTGCAGGATCCCAAGGAAATTGGGAAAGATAAGCGACACACTTGGATTATTGTTTTTGTTGTTGTTACCGTATTTTCCATTTATAAGACGACCCAATGGATAAGACGACCCCCCCTTTTCTAACCCCCAAATTAGAAAATTTGCATGATCGCACCTCTTTGATCCTGAAGCCCTTTCATGGCTGCTTCAGGATCAAATGGGTGCAAGCGTGCCACCCTTTCACGGCTGCTTTACCCCGTGGCTTCACAGAAGGCAGGGAAAGTGGCTGCCATCCATGTATAAAACAACCCTAATTTTTTGTCTAATTATTTAAATAAAAATGTCATTTTATACAAGGAAAAATAAGGTATT